TCTCTCTCTCTCTCTCTCACGTACACATGCACACACGAGTATGATATAATATTAGGCCTATTCATTATTTTTATACTATATCGCAGGCAAAAGGAATACATAAACGTGTATGCGGAGGATATCATTTTCTATTTATCATGCAAACCCTTCCACCATTATCAAGATAGGCTTCATGAAGTATACAGCTGACTCTTACATATATTTGTTGAGTTGTCCACGCGGCCATTAATTAATTAAATGTACTGCACTATGTTTGCTTGGAGCTTAATGCTCAGCTACCCTATCAACTGTAACATTAACGATGTTGGTGATTCCTACAGTTTTCTCATTCTTATTACCAGAATCCTCTTGGCATTTGAAATCCATAAAGTGCAGTCAACGACTTAAGTTTTAAACACCATCATAGGTAGCTGATCACAGCACTATGAAAAATATTACATAATGCCCATTTACAGGGTTTTGAAACACAACCATAACACAACATGATCCAAAGACTACCGGTACCACAACAGATGACCCAAAGACTGCCATAAAATATGATCCAAAGATTACCGTAACACATGATCCAAAGACTACCATAACAGATGCACCGTAACGCGTCATGGCCTAAACCTACTTGACTGGCTCTGTGACACTCTGCACAATATTCTTTAACGCATCAAGAAGATTCCTGTTCTCGTCCCAAGGAAGGTCCTCACTCTTCACAATCTCCAGGTATCGTTGAATAGCAGCCATCACCGCGGCCTTGTTTTTCTAGATATTTCATGAATACAAAACAATGTATCTGAAGCATTATGTTGTTTTACGGTCTTAATTTTGGACGAGTTCTTTTTTCTCGAGATAATTGAAAGGGAAAACATAACGATGTTTGAGAGGGTAGATCTAGGTCTTATAGTACTTATGACAACCATGGTTCCTGAACTGCTTTCCTTCTGTTCTAAGAAAATACTTTAGACACAGGGTAAACTGCCCTGTGTGTGTAACCAGACCTAGGTGCAACCACTTCCACAGTCGTTTACTAAACAAAACAGAAGAGTGAACAAAAATTAGCAGAGCACATTCCCTTGGACTGTTTGTTGATTTATACTATAAGTTATACAATCCGCTTTCGTTTTTATTTCCACTTATATTGAAGCTGGTAGGAACACTTTAAAAATGTTTGTTGAAAAACTTGGTTTGTGGGATTTTTAGGTAAGTTGTTCAAGTGGAGATTTTAAAAAAGAAAGAAAAGAATAGTTTCAGTCGTCAATGCCGTTGTTTTCTTGATGATGAGTGATTTATTATTTACTACTGATAATGACAAGTATTTTCAGTACATAAGACAGCGGAATATCGGTGGTTGCACCAAGGGCTGGGCGAAATCACCCGCAGCCTACCTATTACATGCAACCAGGCTAGTAGCTGGTCGGGCATGGTCGGGCATGGTCATTTGTTTTACGGACCAGGATGAAACAACCTCTAGGGTCATTCCAGCATAAATGTATCTACCGTCTGGTTATGGTTAGTTATAATTATTTAATTTATATTTGTAGCTTTTAATTTTGACTAACAGGAAAACAACCCCCCAAAAATATATGGTACCATTGTTAGTTTTGAAGGGCAATACCATTATTAGCATCTTACTTGCGGTAAACATAGTTTTAATAAACACACAGGTCAGTGTAGCAAGCATATAGCGAAAAGAAAACGTACATACTGAAGAGATATTCAGAATTTCTTCTTATATTACCTTCTTTGTGTTAAAACCATACACATTGTGCTTATAGTTAAGAATTCGTACATAGCAAAAACAAAAATTGCATCACCGGGGGGAGATAATATTATGCTCTCCTCCGCCATTTCACCAAGACCTATTTTTGCAGAACGCTGTCAAGCTGTTAGGTAGTGTATTGTCCTGTTGAAGAGAGCGCGCTGACACGTGTGCTGAATGTACGCGTACGTGCTTTCACGCGACCACAGACTCTCGACGAGCAAAAGACTTCAACTATTTCAATTTTCAGCCCTAATTCTAGATCTAGTTAATTTTTTGTTCAAACTAAGCCACCAGGGGTCTTGTAATTTATTAAACGCAAATTAAATCATTTCTTTCTTGTATTTGTTTCTTCAGTATCTTTGAACAACAAACTGGTTGGGGGCTCTCTTGGCCTAAAGGTTACTGTGTTCGCCTCTCATTCAAAGGTCCCGGGTTCGAGTCCGGGTAGCGACGGAAAAATTTCTTCTCTAGAATTGTCTCCTTTCGCCTTCTTTCCTGCTCTCTGACAGTGTTCTGTCATCTGCTTTCGTCTCTACTTTCTGCCACCCCCCCCCACCCGCCTCCTTTGCCCCCTCCTCTGGACTCCTGACTTTTTCTGCTGCCTTTCTACTGCTAGTCTTAATGGCTCCTTCTTACTCTTTCAGCCACACCCCTGAGCTTCTGGTAGGAAAGATCTACACCTAGCCTTCTCGGACAAGGGCAAAAAATCTCGGAGATCCCGTGTGCACGTTGCGCACGTTAAAGATCCCTTGGTGGTCTAAAATGGATAAGAGTAGGCTTCGGCCGCCACCCGGGCAAAAATCAAAATTTCCTACCAACTGAAAATGTTTGATGTGTTCTGCGCGCTCATATGACCTTATGCAGTTGCCGGCTCCGTTAAACACTTACCAAGAAAAAAGAAAAGAACAACTGGTTGCAGAAAGTCACATAATGTTGCACGTAGACAGTCAAGGTGCACCAAGGGTTAACAACTGGTTGCACTGTGGGCATGTGGTTGCACCCAGGACGATAAAGGCAAATAGTATTTTCCCTCTGAAGTCTTTATTTGTTTGTTATTTTTTATACAGGCACTTTCGGGCTCACTTTTAAACCAAGTAAATCGACTGCTTCTAAAGAAGTTTCCCTTTGACAACTCTAAGGGGTTTATGAGCAACCACCTCACCAAGTGGCTGCTGTAGAACACTTTACTCTAACATTGGTTGACTGTTACGACGGTGTTATTTGTCTTGACACCTATTGAAAGTACAAAAGAAGCAAATGCTAAAAATGGACTGCTCTTTTGGTTAAATAAAGAAGAAGAAGAAGAAGAAGAAGAAGAAGAAGAAGAAGAAGAAGAAGAAGAA